TTGGCGACGTGCTGTGTAGGCCACAATACAATGAGCTGTCCCCCCATGTTAAATAGTAAGTACTGGAAAAGTATTTGCTTCATGACCAAATGGAATATAACGTTGAGGATAAAGTTCGGAATTTGACACAGTTTAATGTTTGACAACATATTTAAATAATCCTCCACCAGACAGGCCCCCGCCCGCCCCCTCATATGGGAATGAGGCAAGGCAGTGGTTAGGCTACTGTTAATTGCATTTTCAAAATACATAAAACACAAAAGGTCAATAAAAATTTCAACAATCAGCCTAAGTATTTGCATGCTGATGTTCAGTCATGTCGCAAACTAATGGTTAAGCATTGTGTTCCATTAGAACAGTTTCCAGTATGATAGGGCTAATATGAGCCTAAGCCTGACATTGACACAGAGGGGCGACCATTTGTCGCGCGTGCACACCAGCTAATATTAATTTTTTAGTCATTTTAGCAGACGCTCTTATCAGAGCGATCTCCTTACAGTTAGTGATACATTATCATATGATGTATACCCGTGGGAATCGAACCCACAAACCTGGCTGTTGCAAACACCAGTGCTCTACCAACCGGAGACGCTGGGCGGATTGTGCGCTTGCCACCATGGGTCTACGGTTCGCGGCAGCTACAACAGAGCCTGGATTCGAACAACCGATCTCTCGGGCACGATAGCAATGCGATTGGCAGTGCCTAGACCACGGCGCCACTCGGAGCCCTATAAACTGATGGGTGTGGGCGGTCGTTTGGATTAGAGCCTAAGGCTATATAAAACCCCCTCCAATCTTTCAACCCGGGAAGAAAGATTCTCTCTTCTCTCTCCCCAAACAGAAAGAATAACAGCCAGCTGTAACTTCCCATTTCCCCTTATAATCAAACAACATTTACCAGCGCTCACAAAAAATATAACCTGACTTACAAACACATAAACAAGTTTAAGAGACTTTCACCCGTCGCAACGGAATCTCTAAGGATATCCGTTAGCATGTAGCACACAACACAATTAACCTGTAGCATTAGCCTTTAGCTTAGCCTAAGGTACACCATAGCATGATTCCCACTTTAGCCTTAACCTGAGCAACGATGTACCACGTGGCCTGAAACAATCAAGCCTTAGCTTCAGCCTCTAGCCAACTGTGGCCTACTAGCTATACCAATGAACACCCTGCACCGTGGCCCAATCATTTTCCATGATTATCAATAATATCTCCTTCTAACTTTGTGTTGCCGTAAGTTCTGGATAATCATAGAGAGGTTACCCCAAGCATTATAGTTCGTCAACCATACGATGAGTATATAACATACATATAATCCGTCCAGCTTAATAATTCCCTGAATTAACCATACACCACATAACGCGTTGCAAGGATTTTATGGCCCATTCCTATGAATCGCCTCGATTCGAGGGCTTTTCCAGATCCCCCGGTGCCCTAATGGTGCAGACGTCTTCCAACCTTTATTCTCTACTAACCCATTGTCACCCGTTACCAATGAATTATACACGTTCAATACTTAAATCCTACCGTTTAATGCTCTAAATTCCAATTAACTGTCGTTTCCGATGAAATAAATTTAGCAGACTTCAGTCGACCAGCAACAAACACCACCTGAGGCCAGGTCATATGGAACATCCCTTCAATGTACACAAGTCATATCCAATCTAACAAACTCCGAAGCGGTAAGAACACACTCACCCTTTTTCGGCCATGCTTCAGAGAGAGTTAGGCCGGCGGTTGACTGAAACAAAGAGGAGACGCAAACCCATGCCCCACGTTGGGCGCCATTATGTCGTATATGATGAATGGTGGTAATATTGCTGATGAACAAAAAGTCCGTTATGCTGCATCGTGTCAGAAGTTTTTATTCATACCACGAGGTTACAGCATAAATTCACAGACACGCGTTGCCTGGAGAACGCCTCCCAGATTATTATGGCCGTTCTGTCGTCTCATCGTTTAACTCCTATTTATAAACAATGCAAAGGGAGGGGCTACTCCCTCTTCTGGCCAATCACCAGTCTCCCCTCGGGCGTCACCCTCCAAGCGGCACATTTCAAATAACATCATAAAACATCCCCCCTTTGGCCTGAACAACCAACATTCCATTTCGTCATGAAAAACATTTAACAAAGGCATAATCTTCAGATACGATAATACTTTTGTACCTGTTTCCTCCAGCATCTTCACAAGGTCCTTTTCTGTTGTTCTGGGATTGATTTGCACTTTTCGCATCAAAGTACATTCATCTCTAGGAGACAGAACGCGTCTCCTTCCTGAGCGGTATGACGGCTGCGTGGTCCCATGGTGTTTATACTTGCATACTATTGTTTGTACAGATGAACGTGGTACCTTCAGGCATTTGGAAATTGCTCCCAAGGATGAACCAGACTTGTGGAGGTCTACCATTTTTTCTGAGGTCTTGGCTGATTTCTTTTCATTTTCCCATGATGTCAAGCAAAGAGGCACTGGGTTTGAAGGTAGGCCTTGAAATACATCCACAGGTACACATCCAATTGACTCAAATTATGTCAATTAGCCTATCAGAAGCTTCTAAAGTCATGAAATCATTTTCTGGAATTTTCCAAGCTGTTTAAAGGCACAGTCAACTTAGTGTATGTAAACTTCTGACCCACTGGAATTGTGATACAGTAAATTTAAGTGAAATAATCTGTCTATAAACAATTGTTGGAAAAATCACTTGTGTCATGCACAAAGTAGATGTCCTAACCGACTTGCCAAAACTATAGTTTGTTAACAAAAAATGTGTGGAGTGGTTGAAAAACAAGTTTTAATGACTCCAACCTAAGTGTATGTAAACTTCCGACTTCAACTGTATTTATATATTCTTATTCCATTCCTTTACTTAGATTTGTAATGCCCCACCAAGATTTACATGCTAAAATCGCCATTGCACATATCCATATAGCCTGCATGTGTAGCCTGTGCATGTACACACAGAAAAGTATCACTCGAACCCAATCAAATATAATATAAGGTTTCGGATAAAGTTTGGAATGACACAATTGCATGTGTACAACCATCTAAAGACCTGCATCACTATACTGAGAGCATTACCGTTTCTAAAATGACATATTTGGGTGTTTTCGGAGTGTTTGTTAATGTTTTATCTTTGCCCCTGCAACTGCAGAACAAGCATGAGGAAGTCTATCGCCGGTGGGGTACGTTTCTCAAAACCAAGTGAAATTGCAAAAAAAGTGTCTGTAAAATGCCATTTACATCCAAAATACAGATTTGATAAAAAAAAGTGAAGCTGTCCTTTACTTGTTCTAAATGTATTTTACTTACATGTAAATTATTGTAAATCCCCCCCAAAACATACTGTATATTGAAACAACAATCATTAAATGTTGAATTTAGTAATGAGGAATAATATGTACATGTTCTATTGCCTATACATGTATTTTGCCAATACATGTCTTTTACCAAAACATGTATTTTACATATGTCTTTTGCCAATGGAAATGCATAAATAACATTGAAGGTTCTATTGAACTTCTGTATTTTACAAAGTGGGAACAAGTTTGTAAACCACAGGGAGGAAGTTCTGAATTGTGCCTGATGTGGGGATTGTGCCATTTGGAGCATGAGTTGCATTGCTTAACTAACTAATAATCAATTCATCAAACATTGCTTCCTGAGTGACAGATTCACTCAACTCAACCTGGCACAACGGATTGTTGGCGACTGCTGTAGGCCACAATACAATGAGCTGTCCATGTTACAATTAAGTACATGGAAAAGGTATTGCTTCAGTTGAACCAAATGGAATATAACGTTGCGGATAAAGTTCGGAATTACACAGTTTCATGTTTACAACATATTTTAAATAATCCTCCACAGACAGCCCCCCGCCCGCCCCTCATATGGAATGAGAAAGGCATTTGTTAGGCTACTGTTAATTGGATTAAAATAATAAACACAAAAGTCAATAAAATATTCACACAATCGCATAAGTATTTGTCATCTTGATTCAGTCATTGTCGCAAACTCAATTGTTAAGCACTTGTTTTCAATTTAGAACAGTTTCATTATGATAGGCTAATATTTAGCCTAGCCTACATTGCACAGAGGGGCCGACCATTGTCGCGTTCAACCAGACTAATATAATTTTTTAGTCATTTTAGCAGACGCTCTTATCCAGAGCGACTTACAGTTAGTGAGTACATACATTATTTATTCCCCCGTGGGAATCGAACCCACAACCCTGGCGTTGCAAACACCATGCTCTACCAACCCTGGACGACGCTGGGCGGATTGTGCGCTGCCCCATGGGTCTTCCGGTCGCGGCCAGCTACAACAGAGCCTGGATTCGAAACACGATCTCTAGTGGCACAGATAGCACTGCGATGCAGTGCCTTAGACCACGGCGCCACTCGGGAGACCCATAACTTGATTGGGTGGGAGGTCGTTTTTGGATTAGGCCTAGGCTATTATTATCCAATTTTTGCAATATTGACAAAGAAAAACGCGTTTTGTAATTGCATGCATGATCATAACATAGTGGTGTCATAATAATAATGCCACAGTAAGGATTATGATAGGCCTATTTTATTCCACCATTTGGGGGTGGTGTTTCTCTTTAATTTTGCGGTACCAATACTGTATGCGGACCTCTCTTGTTAAGGAGGGCGGCCCGACAGCACATTGAGTTTTCGGACAGTAGACTAGTGATGAGGACTGACCAGCCAGCAGGGACCAGCAAGTATCCAAATTAGCAGATCGTACGCAGCTTTGAAGATGGCATGCGAGCGCCGCAAGCGCGGGATGGCCAGCATTTCCCAAATCTGACGTCGGAGACATGCCGGAGCAGTTTGGAGAAATTCTGCAGAGGTCCTGCGTCTGTTTGTGCAAGCAAACCGGTGGACACAGATGCAAGGGCGAGGCTACGACAAAAAAATAAGCGGCAAGGGACGGCTATTTAGGACTTTTTATGCAGTCACGCTCCCCCAATCCATGCAACGTAATTTAAAATGATGTCACTTATAGACTTAAACGATGACCAGAGATGGGTGCCTACACATGTGAATGTAACTGTCCTTCGTGCAAGGGGTTTGCGGATGAAGGACAAGAACGGGAGCCGTTATGTTTACACCATCATTCAGGTGGGGAAGGAGAAATACACCACCGGTTTGGTCGAGAAGGCGACTGTGCCTGAGTGGAATGAGGAATGCTGTTTCGAACTTCTCCCCGGAATACTGGAGGCTGGGGGTCGCAGTGCTTTTCCCTCAGGGAGCGGTGACTTGGTCATCAACGTTATGCACCGTGTGCTTATCGGACTTGACGTGTTTCTTGGTCAAGCAATCGTCCCTTTGGATAAAATATTTCAAGATGGAATGTGCCCTAGAGATGAGTAGGTTCCTCTCACTTACTAAGTTAATTTGCTTATGATGAGGAACTTATTTCCACTGAGTATATTGACATTTTAGTCATTTAGCAGACGCTCTTATCCAGAGCGACTTACAGTTAGTGAGTGCATATATATTTTTTTTAATACTGGTCCCCCGTGGGAAACGAACCCACAACCTTGGCCTTGCAAACACCATGCTCTACCAACTGAGCTACACGGGACATGTAGGCTAAATTATAATATACATAAATTATAGGCCATTATGGCCATAGTAATTTGCCATGATTTGACAGTAACATTTATACGCCCAACTTGCTAAAGTATCTGCATTACAGATGTCTACGATAGATACTGTGGCAGGCCCAACTATGGAGAAGGGTGCAATTGCGGCTCGCAATTTGGGGTGCAACTGCATGTGGGCATTCCTGCATATGCAGGAACCTGTCTTTATACTTCTATTGGTCAATTTTTAAGTTAAGACAGCCGGGAGGTGGGGGCGCTCCAGTACAGTAGGTGGCGTTAATGCACAATAACGTTGGATGCCAGCCGCTGATAAACCACACAGAAGAAGGGGCGGTAGCTAGCTAGCCGTACACGGGTAACGATGGCGAGGGCAGGTGTTCGGCAGGCGGGAGCGAAGGACACTGTGTGCTATCTTAGCCAGCTAGTCCTAAGGAGGACTCCGGAACACAGCAGGTGGGAGGTGGGGGCGACACAGTGTGCTAGCTAGCTAACTATCAAGCTAGCTAGTACACGTGTCGCCTCAGCCTCCCACCTGCTGTGCTAGCGGGAGGCGGGGACGACCGGTAGGCAGTGTCTTTCGCCCCTGCCTGTCGGGCATGGTTTTCTCTGTGACACAGCAGTTGGAAGGCGGGGGCAACACCGTGTGCTAGCTAAGTAGCAAGCTAGCACACAGTGTCACTAATTAACAAGCTAGCTAGCACGCGTTAGGCGGCGACGACTGGTAAACTGTTCTTTGCCCCTGCCTGTCGGCACGGTTTTCTCCAGGACACAGCAGGCCGGAGGCGGGGGCGACATTGGGTGCTAGCAAACTAGGAAGCTAGCACACAGTATCACTAACTAAGCTAGTTAGATAGCACGCGGGAGGCAGGGGCGACCGGTAGACAGTGTCCTTCAACCCCGCCTGTCGGGCACTGTTTTCCCGCAGTTTTGTTAACGACATTGAGTGCAGGACGGGAGCGAAGGACTGTCTACCGGAGGACTCTGGTAGGCAGGGACGAATAAAACTCAGATAAAACATTTATTTCCCTTTTGACCCACATTTAACAGTGTCACACAAGCATGAAGATGCTGTGCTCGGGGGGGGGGGCATGCATGCAGGCAGGAACCAATGGGGTACTTGAGTGGGGGCGTTCATGCAGGAACTAATGGGATTTCCCAACAAGTTAGAAAAAAAGTTGAAGGGTATGACATCTTGGTCTACGTCTCTGCAGAACAGAATGTTTTTCTACCAATAAAAAATGATAGCTATTTTAGTAAACGCATAAAATACACTCAACAAAAATATAAACGCAACATGTAAAGTGTTGGTCATGAGCTGAAATAAAAGATCCCAGAAATGTTCCATACGCACAAAAAGCATATTTCTCTCAAGTTTTGTGCACACATTTGTTTACATCCCTGTTAGTGAGCATTATCATTTGCCAAGATAATCTATCCACCTAACATTTGTGGCATGTCAAGAAGCTGATTTAACAGGATGATCATTACACAGGTGCACCTTGAACTGGGCACAATAAAAAGCCACTCTAAAATGTGCAGTTTTGTCACACAACAAACACAATGCCACAGATGTCTCAAGTTTTGAGGGAGCGTGTAATTGGCATGCTGACTGCAGGAATGTCCAGAGTTGCCAGAGAATTGAATGTTAATTTCTCTACCGTAAGCCGCCTCCAACGTCATTTTTGAGAATTTGGCAGTACGTCCAACCAGGGCTCACAACTAACTTTTTTACAGTACCGGCCTGAAGAGCAATTTCAACTGTCCCAAACTGAACCATCAAACAGGCAAAGAGTCAATACAGGACTAAGATTGAATCGTACTACACCGGCTCTGACGCTCGTCGGATGTGGCAGGGCTTGAAAACTATTACAGACTACAAAGGGAAGCACAGCCGCGAGCTGCCCAGTGACACAAGCCTACCAGATGAGCTGAATCACTTCTATGTTCGCTTCGAGGCAAGCAACACTGAAGCATGCATGAGAGCATCAGCTGTTCCGGATGACTATGTGATCACGCTCTCCGTAGCCGATGTGAGTAAGACTTTTAAGCAGGTCAACATTCACAAGGCCGCAGGGGCAGACGGATTACCAGGACGTGTACTCCGAGCATTTGCTGACCAACTGGCAAGTGTGTTCACTGACATTTTCAACATGTCCCTGACTGAGTCTGTAATACCAACATGTTTCAAGCAGACCACCATAGTCCCTGTGCCCAAGGACACTAAGATAACCCGCCTAAATGACTACTGACCCGTAGCACGCACGTCTGTAGCCATGAAGTGCTTTGAAAGGCTGGTCATGGCTCACGTCAACACCATTATCCCAGAAACCCTAGACCCACTCCAATTTGTATACCGCCCCAACAGATCCACAGATGATGCAATCTCTATTGCACTCCACACTGCCCTTTCCCACCTGGACAAGAAGAACACCTACGTGAGAATGCCATTCATTGACAACAGCTCAGCGTTCAACACCATAGTGCCCTCCAAAGCTCATCACTAAGCTAAGGACCCTGGGACTAAACACCTCCCTCTGCAACTGGATCCTGGACTTCCTGTTCACCCATGACTGCATGGCCAGGCACGACTCCAACACCATCATTAAGTTTGCCGACGACACAACAGTGGTAGGCCTGATCACAGACAACGATGAGACAGCCTATAGGGAGGAGGTCAGAGACCTGGCTGTGTGGTGCCAGGATAACAATCTCTCCCTCAACGTGATCAAGACAAAGGAGATCATTGTGGACTACAGGGGAAAAAAAGAGGACTAAGCACGCCCCCATTCTCATCGATGGGGCTGTAGTGGAACAGGTTGAGAGCTTCAAATTCCTTGGTGTCCACATCACCAACAAACTATCATGGTCCAAACACACCAAGACAGTCGTGAAGAGGGCATGACAAAGCCTATTCCCCCTCAGGAGACTGAAAAGATTTGGCATGGGTCCTCAGATCCTCAAAAAGTTCTACAGCATCGAGAGCATCCTGACTGGTTGCATCACCTCCTGGTATGGCAACTGCTCGGCCTCCGACCGCAAGGCACTACAGAGGGTAGTGCGTACGGCCCAGTACATCACTGGGGCCAAGCTTCCTGCCATCCAGGACCTCTATACCAGGCAGTGTCAGAGGAAGGCCCTCAAAATTGTCAAAGACTCCAGCCACCCTAGTCATAGACTGTTCTCTCTGCTACCGCACGGCAAGCAGTACCGGAGCACCAAGTCTAGGTCCAAAAGGCTTCTCAACAGCTTCTACCCCCAAGCCATAAGACCCTTGAACAGCTAATCATGGCTACCCGGACTATTTGCACTGCCCCCCCACCCCACCCCCCTCTTTTACGCTGCTGCTACTCTGTTAATTATTTATGCATAGTCACTTTAACTCTACCCACATGTACATATTACCTAAATTACCTAGACTAACCGGTGCCCCCGCACATTGACTCTGTACCGGTACCCACTGTATATAGCCTCCCTACTGTTATTTTATTTTACTGCTGCTCTTTAGTTATTTGCTTTAATTTTTTTACTTAACACTTCTTTTTATTTTACTTTTTCTTTTAAAAAACTGCATTGTTGGTTAAGGGCTTGTAAGTAAGCATTTCACTGTAATGTCTACACCTGTTGTATTCGGCGCATGTGGCAAATAAAATCTGATCTGATTTGATGTTTTTTTTATGTTTTGATATGCCAACATGGGTCTAGGTCATTTGCAATGCTTTTAAAGTAATTGATGTATTTCTGTGACCGATACAGAAAGTCTATATTACATAAACTTAATTTCTTAAGAAAAAAAAGTTTAGCATCTTAATGAAGACAAATATTATTAATAATTATAATGTATTCATTGAACATGTTAACCACATGTACACAATAAATCTAAGAGAGAACAATGTTATTGTGAACGGTTTACTGAAGAAATGTAAGTCAGAGACATTCCATTCCACCACCAGCTGCCCCATTAAACAACATAACACAACAATATACAATAAAGAATGTGTGTGTTCCCCAGCCTTCACTTTCTCTGCTTCCTCTTCAGTCACTGAAGAATGATGGCCTTGACCTTTTTGAGTGCCACCACTTGCTAACAGCCAGGGCCTAAAATGTACTTTTTGGTACACCAGCCACCGTGGCAGGTAGATAAAACCCATCTACCAGCCAAAATATTTTCTTTACATTTACATTTACATCATTTAGCAGACGCTCTTATCCAGAGCGACTTACAAATTGGCTAAAATTACTCCAAAACACAAAAAAACAGATGAGAATTCTTTGTGATGTTTCTAAACAATAAATGTATTACTTTGTAAGAAGTAATGTTGTATATTGTTTAATTTAATTTTTTGTGACCTGAGTCTTTTAACCAAAATATCACAGATGAGTCAAAAATGTGATATACCGTGTTAACGTGATTTGAGTCAAGTTTGTGCCTGTGAGATTGAGAGGATGACTAGTAACCGTGTTGCTTCTCTTCCCTAGCAGTTGAAACTCAAACATTGAAAAAGAACCTAGCTTGTGAACAAAACAATGTAAATAGTCAAGAACAAAGTCTCACTACAGTAGACTTTCGATTCAAGTAAATTAAACAAACTTTGTGTGCGCAGTGTTGCAGCGCGAGGCAGAAATACTTTGCACATTTTACAGTGTGCATTCGGTTCAGGTCAGTGAGATACAACCATATTCTCTAGAATACCATAGTATCTAGCCATAGCTTACAGACAATGCAAATGCCACAGCAACTCCCGGCATAGACAACCTCCGCTACGGGCCGGCGGGCCGCAGACAGGCTGGGAGAGAGTCAAATGTGCATTCTAATAGGCCTATTTGCCCAAAACTTGAATGATATTATACATTTCCATAACCTAAATAATGACATGCGATGCCTAGCCAGCCATATCATTGTTTGAAACCTGGACATTTTACATAGCCTATTTTACCTTGGCGTTCTCCTGTAATAGCATTTTGGAACATTCACACATATGGCCGAGACCAATGAACACATTGCTGCGCTTGTAATGTAAATTATTAATAGTTTATCAACTTTTAAGCTAAATGTTGTGATCTGTTTCATCAGCCTTGTCTTTGTGTTTAAAGCACTGTTGTATGCATTTTATATTTTTCTGGCCTATCGTCCTGCAACTGTCCAAAAGTCTGTTTTGAACCTTCCCAGAAAAATGTTTTTATCATCCCCAGGATGACGGGACGCCCTTAATTTTGAGCCCTGCTTCCAACCAGCCTCACAACTGCAGACCACGTGAATGGCATCATGTGGGCGAGCGGTTTGCTGATGTCAAAGTTGTGAACCAAGTGCCCCATGATGGCGGTAGGGTTATGGTATGACCAGGCATAAGCTACGGACAATGAACACAATTGCATTTTACAGATGGCAATTTGAATGCACAGAGATACCGTTACCAGATCCTGAGGCCCATTGTTGTGCCATTCATCCGCCGCCATCACCTCATGTTTCAGCATGATAATGCACAGCCCCATGTCGTAAGGATCTATCTGTACACAATTCCTGGAAGCTGAAAATGTCCCAGTAATTCCATGGCCTGCATACTCACTAGACATGTCACCCATTGAGCATGTTTGGGATGCTCTGGATCAACATGTACGACAGCGTGTTCCAGTTCCCACCAAATCCAGCAACTTCACACAGCCATTGAAGAGGAGTGGGACAACATTCCACAGGCCACAATCAACAGCCTGATCAACTCTATGCGAAGGAGATGTGTCCGCTGCATGAGGCAAATGGTGATCACACCAGATACTGACTGGTTTTCTAGACCACGGCCCTACCTTTTTTTAAGGTATCTGTGACCAACAGATGCATCTGTATTCCCAGTCATGTGAAATCCATAGATTAGGGCCTTATTTATTTAAATTGACTGATTTCCTTAGATGAACTGGAACTCAGTAAAATCTTTGAAATTGTTGCATGTTGCGTTTATATTTTTGTTCAGTATACGTTTTATCTAAACCATTTTTTACCACTTTCCCAACAACTTGGAGAGTATGAAATCTACTTCTCTGCTTTTCAAATCTAAAATCAGAAAACTTCTTCCACTACCACAAAAATACTATAAAGAAATCTAAAGCAAGTCCCACAATTTTATTGGGATTTACTTGGATATATCCATAATAATGACGTTGCATGATTTCGCCTGGCTCAGAAAAAGTTGAGTCGCGTCTGGACACCCGTTCGCTCTCTATGATAGGCTCCAGGGGAGTTCACATTTCAAAAGTGAAATAAATCTTCAGAGGTCTGACAGGCAGACAGCTATGCTTATATTAACCCCTGCTGTACCAAACTAAATGCTAGACTGGAAGCAAGGGGAAATAATGTGAAAGTTGAGATAAATGCAAGAGATGATTCGGACAGCAACGTGAACATGATAGTCTTATGGAGACACAGTGATCATTTTCAGATGGAACTGTTAGCAGGCATAGTGTGCCTGTGACGGCCAATACAGCACGGCTTGGAATGCTGCTCATCCAATCAGCATTCAGGATCCAAACAACACGTTTTATAAAATAAAATAATGTTGGTCACAGATGCGTTTAAGTTGCATGACAATGCATGTGTGGAGCGCTGGGGATGGTTGACGCCTGACAGTCTCCTCTCACTGTGGCTCCAGATGGCTCAAACTCAACTCCAAGGCCGGCCGGAAGGAGAAGGAGCGCGGCGAGATGCAGGTGACGGTCCAGTTCACCCGCAACAACATGACAGCCAGCATGTTTGACCTAACCATGAAGGACAAGCCACGGTCCGCCTTTGGCAAGCTCAAGGACCGTGTGACGGGGAGGAAGATGGGCGACATGGAGTCATCATCAGCCATCGTGCCGGGACGCTTCGCCGCACTGTCGGGTTCCCTAGGGCAAACATTCAGAGAGGGGGGCGGAGGAGGAGAGGACCCCATGGAGGTAGACGAGGAGAAGCGGAGAAAGGTGAAGGATTTCTTCCTGGGGAAGGGAAAACTGCGGAGGTCGTCCGACACAAGGTCGTGCTCATCGCTGGCCTCGGAGAGCAGCGTGTCATCCTTGACCAGTGAGAGCCCCCCTCCTCTGGGCCAAGGCCTCCTGGCAGCCCCACCCAGCTCCCTCAGCCCCCCCTTATACAGCAACAAGGTCAAAGTAGACACCCACCACAGAGATACAGACCTAGCTAAAAAAGGTAAGCCTGCAGATTTCCTATCTCCCGAGTGTTTCATTTTCATTAGAAATTTACCTAAATGTCTGTAATATGTAGTAATTCATGAGCTGTATTTAGATTCTGGCAGAATCTTTACCAGATAAAAGCATGTACTGTATGTCAAGGATCTAGCTTGCTTATGCATTTTAAAGAATTGTTTTGGAAGAGAGGTTATTATTAGGACCGATCCATTTCAGGCCAATACTTTGACACCCTTTCTTTCCCTCCAAATAGTGTTCACCACCACACAGTCTTCCCCTTTAATACTGACCCACAAGCAAGCCTTCAGCGACGAGGCGAGTGGGATTACCACTACTGCCGTTCCCCAGCCCTGTCCTGCTGTGGAATCCCTCAAGGGTCAGGGTATGACTCTCTCCCAATCCTCTCTGTGCATCAACGGAAGCCACGTCTACGGATCCGAACCCAAGGGCTCAGGCACCCTCCCATCCAAGCTGGTCCTCCTCGAGAAGTGCTCCCCACTCTCTCATTCGCTGCAGAACCTCACAAAGCGGAGCGAGGACAATGGTTCCGCCGGCGATGGGCGGCGCTGGTCCTTCGACAAGGTGAAGAAGGAAGAGAAGTACGAGAAGAAGGCCGAACCACATGTCTCCCAGGTTCAAAGCGCTCGGGTTGGGGGTTGTCCGGTGCAGGCAGCCGCCCCGATGCTGTCTTCCACTACCACGGTGGACTCGGCAGACAAAGGGAAAAAGCTCAGAAAGTCGTTATTCTCCAGAGGGAGGAGTGATTCTCTACCTGCCAAGTCGGCGCCGAGCCAGGGTTGTCCTCTCCCCGAGGGGAGACTGCGAGGCTTGTTTGGCTCCAGTGACTCCCAGAACAAGCCAAGGTGAGTGGAGGGTCATTTCAGATGTCTCCACACTCCAGGGCTTCATACAGTTTTGCCTTCCATCGAAAGAACACAGACATCTACATCTTGAAAGGTTTTGATTTCCTTGTGTTCAGTGTCTATGCTGCCCCCTGTTCCTTTAAAATGGAAATGTGGCCAGTTCATCCACCATTTCAATCAATCAAATGTATTTTATAAAGCCCTTTTTACATCAGCAGTTGTCACAAAGTGCTGCAATCTCATATCACCTCATGTAGGCCACAACATGATAAGGTTCATACTGTACTCTTAACACAGGATAATAGTAAACATCTAGGCCATTTGTATAAGAATAGATGTACTGTCCTTTGAATCAGAGGAAATCAAAGACAGAGTCCATGTGACTGCAGTTGAAAAGGAAATAATGGCATATACAGTATATTTCACTCTTAACCTTGGGGTCAAATTGAAACAGATACTGTATACAGAGAAAGATCTAACTGAACTTTAAGCTTAAGGTTTGGTATGTTGTGGAACATCTGGGCCAGTATTCATGAAGGATATCAGAATAAGAGTGCTGATCTAGGATCAGGTCCCCCTGTCCATGTAAACTTATTCATTATGATCTAAAAGACCAAACTGATCCTAGATCAGTTCTTTACTCTGTGATGCTTTATGGATACTGGCCCAGTACACAAATCACCTGTTTTTGCTATTAGATTATGTGCAGTATTACTGTTTCTAATCAGACAGTAATTCCTGAAATACCAAATTTAGTACATCTTGCATTTTTGCTCTTCACCTTGCTTCAGTAATTTGCAAAATGCTGTTTTGCTTTTTGTAGTAAACTCTTGTTGCTGTTTTCCATAACCCATTATTGTTAACATTTTTGGGCAATTGTAGCATATTCACATATGAAAATATTTTAAGCTAGTCCTCAAATAAACGTTAGCTGGCAGAAGATGCTTCTTCTCTTTAGACATCTGGCTTTCCTTTTTCTATGTGTGTTAGAAAATTGCACCCATTTTTTTGAATGGGTCAGCTGGCATAGAATTAACAAAGAGGACTGCTTGTGCCTTCCCTCCACAGGGTGGAAGTTTCTTCTAAGGTAGAAAGCGACTCAGACACCCCTCCTCCCCTCCCCCCTCGCTCCCCCATTCCCCCCCAGTCCTTGTCTCCCTCTACTTCTTCCACTGGCCGTGCCTCACCCGACAGTGGCCATCCCACTAACCCCTTCACCCCCTCTCCCTCTCCGACCCCCAATCCAATCTCTCCCTCCAACCCCTTCCTCCTGTGTATGCAGGGTAACCCATTTTTTGAGGACCTCATAACCGAAGAGGCCCGGAGGTCCCCCCCTCTCGCTCCCTGCTCCCCCTGTCATTCCACAGCTTTGCCTAGTGTCCCCAGTACCGTCCACAATGTCGCAGTGCAAAAGAAAATGGCCACCATACGGCGAGAGCGCCCCAGGCCTGTAGCCAGGCAGACGTCCCTCCCTGCCTTACTCCCGAGAGCGGCGACTGCCAGCCCCCCGAATCCATTCACCTCTCGCTCCATATCAGAGAGCGGGGGAAGAGAATGGGACGAGTCCTTTGACGCCTTTGCATCCAGCAGGCTGAATTCGCCAAAGGGCTCTCCTACCAATCACCCTTCAAATGCAACCTCGAGGCAAGCTCAAGTAAGAAGCACTCCTCCACATGAGAGTTACACTATTCCACCCGTTGAGGAGATGCAGATGAGTGAAGAAGAAGAGCATCCACCGTTGCCTCCACGGAGGCCCATAACAAGGACTTTGGTAAACAAGAGACCCTCTGACAGCTGGTTGCACAGGGGTCAGGAGCTGGCTGTGCAGAAAGAGGCCTGTCTCCTGTCACAAACAGGCGCGGCTTCCCTGCAGCACACAAGAGAAGGCGGGCACAAGAGATGCACACTTATTCCCCAGCTGTACCCAAGCCCAGGCAAACACCTTCTCGTCAGCAGTGAATTTCATACCGAACACTCACAACGTTATGCCAACATTTCTCCAGAGTCTCCATCTCCATTCAAGTCTGAAGATGAGTTCGAGAAGTTTGACTATGAACCATTGCGAGATGAAGATGATAGCTGTAAAATGATGTTTAATGAGCAGGACTTATGGCCGGATGCAACAGAAAACCATCTAGACCCAAATATAAAGGATTCGATAATATTGTTGGCCTCAGAGGATACGATGGACGCCAGTCCCACTGTTAGAAAAGACGCCATTGTAAAGAACACTTCACATTCTGAACTCAAAGACTTATCTCTACCAGTAATGCTTCTTGATAGTGAAATGACTGTTGCCGATCTACTGAATATGTCTTCCCCAAAACACTCTAATTCAGGTCTTAAGACGCATGACATTGCGTCAACTACACCAGACCCAACAACAGAATTATTCTCAATTCACCCAGAGAAGCCCACCAAGTCCAGAGATATAAATTATGAATCACCTCCGCTAACCTTGGAAGATCTAAATAAAAACCTAAGTAACTCTGATTTTAGTTTTATTGACTCTGCTTCTGATGCCTCCCCATCTCCATCTGAAATGATGACAGTGAATACCCTCAAAAGTTTAGGTGGCATTTTTCCTCAATCTCCACAAGTTACACTCATAACCGTATATCATGAGCAGAAGATGCTATCTGCAGAGGATATGTTAACTTTTCAGAAACCTAGTACTATAGACATCAACTCTGCCCTAAAAGCGAATTTACCAGAAGCCTCCTTGCTTTGTCAAGACAATTGGCAAGATGGAGGTTGTGAATTGAATACATCACGCAGAGATTCTGCAAGCAATAAGAAGAACAATAGCATTTTTACACCTGACAGTCTTAACATAGAGCCTGAGTCTGAAGACATCACTAGAGACACTGTAGATATAAAACAATCTCCACTGGATAGAAATGGCAACATTTCAAAATCAAAGATAGACATTTCAATAGTAGACCCTTCATGTCATATTAGAACTTCTCCAGTTTCTCCACAGATGGGAATGCAACAGGAAGTTGTACGCAATAAACAGGAAGTGAGTCAGCCTCTGGCCAAACTAACCAAGCATGTCAATGAGTCTTCACCTAGGGGTGCTAGTTCACACAGGAGTCTCAAGGGAATGATACGAGAGCTCCGCGGCAACGGTGGTTCAAATAGCCCTGGCAAAGGATTGCGTGAGAGCCCTCTTCACCAATCACTGTCTCCTGGGCAAGTACTCTCAGAGAGCATTGAAGTACCCTTCTCATATCAACCCACCAAATCTCCTTTTTCCTCACCTTTGTCACCAGATAGAGAGACAACGCTCAAGGCAGCTAAATTATTTGTTTCCTCGCAAAAAACGAACACAAAATGTTCCACTCAGTCAATTCCAAAAGAAAACTGGTTAACGGAACGTTCCCCGTCCAGACATGCTGGGACCATCAGCTTCGAAGACGTCCATGCCAAAGTAGCCCCGAACGTGAGAAGCCCCATGAGTGCCAGGTTAAGGCCTGGCGTCTCTCTGCATGCTTCCAACCCCTCCTCTGCTGCCCCCTCCCTGGTGACTGAAACTAATGCCCAGGCTAAGCTACCCCCCACCCCCGGCCCCTCCTCCATACATCACCCCCCGACCGTGAGACCCAGTACCGGAGCCAGTGCCACCTTGGCTGTGGCCCCCTGCACCTCTTCCTCCTTCTCTACCTCCTCCACCACTGTCCAACCCCTGGTCGATGCACGGCACACACTTTTACCTGAGGAGACACAGCCAGCTAGCAGCCTGCCCCGACAGGAGAGCAGGTGAGACTTCTCCTCACACTTAAGCTCTGTGTACCCACTCCACTCCTCTTGAGAAAATATCAGGTTGGGTTGCCAGATTGGGTTGCCAGGTTGCAGTCAACAATGGGATGCGGCAATTAGAAATAGTTAGACATAACACACCTGCTAGCTGTTTACAAGCCATAGCTTGAAAACCTGAACCTACATATTGTTAGACTGTATTCTCATTCTTCCAAATGAAACTAATATATTTAGTTTATTTGATTTAATCTATTCAAGTAGCTTCCTTAAGAGGAAGTTCTCTAAATTAATCAATATATATATCCCCTGCCAGTACCACCTGCCCATGCAAACCCATTGGTTGCTACAGTTTTGTAAATTGCTTAAATCTTTTACGTTGCTCGTCTCACTTCTGTGTAATTAATTTGTGTCAAACATTTGTGTCGCTGACTGTCTCATCACATCTAGGAGTCCACATCCACAATCACAGTCATCACAATGAAAATCTCAGCCTTATCTTGATGATTTAACAACTACTTCAGCTCTCTGTGCTGCCATTTTGACCATCTGTAAATGAATGCAAAATGGAAATACTTTCCTTCACTCTCTCATTAGGTGTAGGGTGAAGTTGCCTCAAGATGCTGATATTGGGTCAGTTTGCGTTTTCCCCACTAAGGAAGCTGATCCTAGATCTGTACCCAGGGGAACTTCAACCTGGAGCCTGTCATTACTGCTGAAGCATACCTGCTTTGTGCTATACTCAAATCAGACACTATAAGCTCTTTTTATGCTCTCTTACTGAAACCTGTTGCTAAACACATTTTGCTGTCGTGTAGAGAACTGATTTGAGGTCTCCATTATATACAGAAAATTCAAAATCCAGGCTGGAGCATTGTTATGAATATTACCACATACTATGTAATGCCAGTGCCTCACATTGTACTGTACTGTATATTGATTTTCATGTGAAAAGTGTTATGTACACATAATCCAATGCAGTGAACATTTGATGGTGATGTTTTCTCTGCAGCCCCCACCCAGTGAAGCCCTTGACCACCACAGCCAGTCAGGGGGAGAAGAAAGAGGGCCGGTCAATTCTGGAGAAGCTCAAGTCTTCCATCCACCCATGCCGCGCCGCCCAGCAGACACTGGCTGAGACTGAGGTATAAAAGGCCACAAACTATGTGTTTAGACAGGCAGCCCAATTCTGATATTTTTTCCACTAATTGGTAATTTGACCAATCACTACAGATATTTTCACATCAGATCTTTTTCAGAGCTGATCTGATTGGTCGAAAGAATTGGGCTGCCTGTCTAAACAGCCAAACTATGCAGGGGAGCTTTTGCTCCAATGGGTGACATACTGTACATGAATATTTTCATAAAGCTGTGTTTTTCAGTACTGAATCACATATTAGAAACAGCCCACTGGGCACACACTGGTTGAATCAACGTTGTTTCCACGTCATTTCATAGACGTTGAGAATTGACGTCTGTGCCCAGTGGGAGTATTCCAAATATATCAACGAATATAATCAAGATAAAGAATCCATGAATTCACATAATGAATGACTTTCCAAACAGAAACGTTCTGAAACATTATTGTCTACCTTGGGATAACTGGGCAGTTCAAAATTCAGTGGAAAGGTTTTCGGTCATGTATGGCTGACTCTGTAAAACAATACATTTCACTGCACCTATTCGGTGTATGTGACAATAAAACATCTGATGACAGCGATAGATTTTTATCAATTGAGTCCCTCCTCTTGTTAATCTGTGTTTTCCCATTTGATGTAACAGATCCAGTCTTGTCAGATCAGTGATTCCTTCAAGATAGGAATGAAGGATGTATTCTCAAAAGTATTCTGACAGGGCCTGTGTTTGTCTTCTCAGGAATCGTTAGCGGACAGCTCGGCCCAGTACGAGCAGCTGACCAAAATGGAGCTGATCTCCCTTCTGCTGCAGCAGGAGATGGATGTGGAGAAGCAGCAGGCGGCCTCCGACCAGCAGGCGGCACTGCTGGAGAAACACGAGGCGGAGCTGAAGAAGATCAAGGCGCAGGTGCGCGACCTGGAGGACTACATCGACAAGCTGCTGGTGCAGATCATGGAGCAGACACCCACACTCCTCCAAGTGCGCTCCCGACACAAGTGACTGCTAGTGCTAGTATATCATAGTATAATATAGGGCCATGGTCACCATCAAACCCTGGTCCCAGAGAGCTTCTAGGATGAGCAGCTCAGTCCCTGTCATAGTGCATTTAACTAGGTCATGTTGGTCAGTTGTTTAGCTGAACCAGGTGCAGGGCTGAAACAAAAGCCTGTACATCCAAGTAGTTCTTCCGGAACAGGGTTGGTGACCACTTCTCCAGGGGCAGGTGTAGTTCAACACATCCCTAAGCAAAAATGAAATGTCACAACCATCCAGGTTTCACTGCTGATACCCTGCCCCGTTGATAAAGACACAATGTTGCCCAATGTGCATGCTTGCTATTGCTCAAATGTCAGGCTGCAAGTACTAATCAGAAACTGCAGTCATAGCAAATGTTATTGGTCACTTTACACTTGCTACTTAGTATAAGGAAAGTGACACAGCTTTTGTCAAATGTACTGCATTATAATTCTTATAAATGTGCATTGATGAAGAATACAGAAAATGTCTTCCTATTCATAGTGTACAGTAAATATTCTTACTTGATATGACATTGCCTCAAATGCAGAAAACATTTAAGTGTCTGAATTAGATTGATATGGACCCAAATTATCTTCGTCATGGTAAATACTGTAATTATTTGGCATAAGACACTGACTCAAAAACAGACTGACTCGAGGAGATTTCCACTGAACTTCAATTTGTTTTCTTGAGCTAGTGTCATTGAATAAATGATGATGTATTTTTTTTACTATTCATGGATGAAATGTGTGCAAAGAATAAAGTGATAAATGTTAATGTGGTAAGATGGGTGTTACAATAAATTCAAAGGCATTATGCTAAGTTATATTTTCACGTTTTGGTTTCATTTGCAAAGCCAATGTATATAATTATGTATATTGCTTTGTCATATAATTTTTGTATGACATTGCATGTATTATTTAGTACAGTACTTAAACTCCCACACCAGTAGAAATCCACTTTTTCGAGCTGAAAGACAATGGCACAACGATGTAAGTCAATAAGTCATCGTTTTAATCAATGGATGATATATTTGGGCTTGAAGTGACAAAACCGAACTGCCCGCTTCATGTAAATTCGTGCCAATGACATGTCTTTTTCAATGAAATGACATTTTGTTTCAGGGTTGGGTTTTACAGTGCCTTCATAAAGTATTCATACCCCTTGACTTATTCCAAATTTCTTTGTGTTACAGCCTTAATTCAAAATGGATGAAATAGATTTTTTTTTCTCACCAATCTACACACAATACCCCATAATGACAAAGTGAAAACATGTTTTTAGATTTATTTTGGCAAACGTATAGAAAATGAAATACAGAAAGATCTCATTTACATAAATATTTACACCCCTGAGTCAATACATGTTACAATCATTTTTGGCATCGATTACAGCTGTGAGTATTTCTGGGTAAGTCTCTAAGAGCTTTGCACACCTGGATTGTACAATATTTGCACATGATTATTTTTACAATTCTTCAAGCTCTGTGAAGTTGGTTGTTGATCATTGCTAGACAGCCATTTTCAACTCTTGCCATAGATTTCAAGCCGATTTAAGTCAAAACTGTATCAAGGCCACACAGGAACATTCAATGTAGCTTTGGTAAGCAACTCCAGTGTACATTTGGCCTTGTGTTTTAGGTTATTGTCCTGCTGAAAGGTGAATTTGTCCCCCAGTCTCTGTTGGAAAGAAGACTGAACCAGGTTTTCCTCTAGGATTTTGCCTGTCCTTAGCTCTATTCCACTTATTTGTATCCTAAAAACTCCCTAGTCTTTGCTGATGACAAGCATACCCATAACATGATGCAGCCACCACCATGCTTGAAAATATGAAGAGTGGTACTCAGTGATGTGTTGGATTTGCCCCAAACATAATGCTTTGTATTCAGGACAAAGTTAATTTCTTTGCCACATTTTTTTTGCAGTTTTACGTTAGTGCCTTATTGCAAACAGGATGCATGTTTTGGAATATTTTTATTCTGTACAGGCTTCCTTCTTTTCACTCTGTCAATTAGGTTAGTATTGTGGAGTAACTACAATGTTGTTGATCCATCCTCAGTTTTCTCCTATCACAGCCATTAAACTGTAACTGTTAAAAGTCACCATTGGCCTCATGGTGAAGTCCCTGAGCGGTTTCCTTCCTCTCCGGCAACTGAGATAGGAAGGACGCCTGTATCTTTGTAGTGACTGGGTGTATTGATACACCATTCAAAGTGTAATTAATAACTTCACCATGCTCAAAGGGATATTCAATGACTGCTTTTTAAAAATGTGTATCCATCTACCAATAGGTGCCCTTCTTTGCGAGGCATTGGAAAACCTTCCTGGTCTTTGTGGTTGAATCTGTGTTTGAAATTCACTGCTCAACTTAGGAACCTTACAGATATATTTATGTGTAGGGTACAGAGATGAGGTAGTCATTCAAAAATCATGTTAAACACTATTATTGCACACGGAGTGAGTCCATGCAACTTATTATGTGACTTGTTAAGCAACTTTTTACTCCTGAACTTTAGGCTTGCCATAACAAAGGGGTTGAATACTTATTGACTGAAGACATTTCAGCTTTTCATTTCTAATTCATTTGTAAACATTTCTAAAAACACAATTCCACTTTGAGATTATGGGGTATTGTGTGTAAGCCAGTGACACAAAATCTCAATTTAAATTCAGGCTGTAACACAACAAAATGTAGAAAAAGTCAAGGGGTGTGAATACTTTCTGAAGGTACTGTATTTGAAGGGTAGGCCTACCACCCACTAGCATGGCATTGTTTAATAATCAGAAACACCTGCAAAGTTTGCAAGTCGTGACTTTCTGCTGAGCAATCTAATAGATAAATGAAGATAGTTCACTCTGGCCGTTTATCGTTTAAATAAAAAAATAAGTTCCGGTCTACTTAAAAGGATGGGTCCAATGCAATAGCAGCTGTGTCTGGTCTACTTATACTGAAAAAATATATAAATGCAACATGCAACAATTTCAAAGATTTTACTGAGTTACAGTTCATTTAAGCAAATCAGTCAATTGAAATAAATCCATTAGGCCCTAATCTATGGATTTCAAATGACTGGGCAGGGGTGCAGCCATGGGTGGGCCTGGGAGGGCATAGGCCCACCCACTGGGGAGCCACAAAGGGGCTTTGTTACAGACAGAAATACTCCTCAGCACCCCCTCAGACGATCCCGCAGGTGAAGAAGCTGGATGTGGAGGTCCTGGGCTAGCATGGTTACACGTGGTCTGTGGTTGTGAGGCCAGTTGGACGTACTGCCAAATTCTCTAAAACGACATTGGAGGCGGCTTATGGTAAAGAAATTAACATTAAATTCTCTAGCAACAGCTCTGGTGGACATTTCTGCAGTCAGCATGCCAATTGCACGCTCCCTCAAAACTTGAGACATCTGCGGTATTGTGTTGTGTGACAAAACTGCACATTTTAGAGTGGCCTTTTATTGTCCCCAGCACCTGTGTAATGATCATGCTGTTTAATCAGCCTCTTCATATGCCACACCTATTAGATGGATGTATTATCTTGGCAAAGGAGACATGCTGACTAAAAGGGATGTAAACAAATTTGTGCACCAAATTTGAGAGAAATACGATTTTTGTGCGTATGGAAAATTTATGTGATCTTATTTCAGCTCATGAATCATGGGACCAACACTTTACATGTTACGTTTATATTTTTGTTCAGTATAGTTCATTGACTTTCATTGAACCAGAATAAATCTGCAAGTGGGGTGTCTCACTTCTTCTTCCGTCTATGACGGCAGTTTTTCGCGATAGCCTACACTTGGCTGCCTGAGCCATGGAGCAAATATAAATAGGGGGTGCAAACTTGTGTTTTTTACCAGCAAATTATCATAATCCATTGGAAAATGTGTCAACTTTAATTTAGTTTTGCGCTAATCTGTATTAAAAAAAGATGACCATTTTATAAAGGGTAAAATGGTGTAATATGATTGAATTTTGGAAGGCCGCTCCCCGTCGCCCCATGGTGAATGGTTTTGACCACGCTCCACTGCGGTAATTGGTGCAGCTACAAATCACAAGCGTCTCCTATAATGAAAAGGCACCCGCGAAAGATTCCGCGAACTTGTTTATCTGTTTTGTGCAGTTACAAGTATTGGTGTTTTGTTTCGTGTCCGATGCGCTCAGGGTGTTGTTACATATAATTTGTGGCGTGCATCAAGAGCAAAGCTGTGAGAACCAGGCTATCCATATCACTGGTATTTCATCTTATTCTTTCTATTTCGGTGGCAGGTTCGCTGCCTCAGTTCATGTAAGATGCCAAAACTTTGGAGATAACAATAGGTTGCCAACCTTTGAAGAAAGCTTGGAGTGAGATTTGCTACAGAATGTGAATTTCATTGCCCCCTTGCACAACCCCTAGACGGGGACTGGGTGTCCTCCCCCAGGAAAATGTTACCGTTTTAAAGCTAATTTCCTTCAATTCTAAGTATTTTGACATTGCTTAGGCCTATGACCAGGATGAAAAATGTTCAAATAAAAACCACAGGTCAGGTGTATTCAGGATGCTTTGAACATTAAATGAACACTCAAAATTCGACGACTTTGTTGCTTACTAAATGTAAACTGAGCTGTGAGGGGAATGGCACCTCCTTACCTTCAGGCTCTGATCAGACCCTACACCCAAACGAGGGCACTACGTTCATCCACCTCTGGCCTGCTAGCCCCCCTACCTCTACGGAAGCACAGTTCCCGCTCAGCCCAGTCAAAGCTATTCGCTGCTCTGGTACCCCAATGGTGGAACAAGCACCCCCACGACGCCAGGACAGCTGAGTCACTGACCTGAGACACTTGAAACCCTACCTCTTTAAGGAATACCTGGAATAGTATAACAGTAATCCTTCTACCCCCCCCCCCTCCCCACCCCCCCATTTTAAAAAAAGGGGGGAAAAGAGTGGTTGTCCCACTGGCTATCCTAAGTTGAATGCACCAATTTGTAAGTCGCTC